ACTCATGGAACTCTGTGTTCATCAAGAACTGCAAGAAGCCCCTATCACGAGCCTTTTCCATCCTATGGAGAGGGAGCATGGACACGGGGGTCGTCCTCAGTTACTAAAAACAACAGACATAGCCCCACTCCACAAAGGGGGCAGTAAAGCAACAGCAAGAACTACAGACCAATAGCACTAACATCCCATATCATAAAAATCTTTGAAAGGGTCCTAAGAAGCAAGATCACCACCCATCTAGAAACCCATCAGTTACACAACCCAGGGCAACATGGGTTTAGAACAGGTCGCTCCTGTCTGTCTCAACTACTGATCACTACGACAAGGTCCTAAATGCACTAGAAGACAAAAGAATGCAGATGTAATATATACAGACTTTGCAAAAGCCTTCGACAAGTGTGACCATGGCGTAATAGCGCACAAAATGCGCGCTAAAGGAATAACAGGAAAAGTTGGTCGATGGATCTATAATTTCCTCACTAACAGAACACAGAGAGTAGTCGTCAACAGAGTAAAGTCCGAGGCAGCTACGGTGAAAGCTCTGTTCCACAAGGCACAGTACTAGCTCCCATCTTGTTCGTCATCCTCATATCCGACATAGACAAGGATGTCAGCCACAGCACCGTGTCTTCCTTTGCAGATGACACCCGAATCTGCATGACAATGTCTTCCATTGCAGACACTGCAAGGCTCCAGGCGGACATCAACCAAATCTTTCAGTGGGCTGCAGAAAACAATATGAAGTTCAACGATGAGAAATTTCAATTACTCAGATATGGTAAACATGAGGAAATTAAATCTTCATCAGAGTACAAAACAAATTCTGGCCACAAAATAGAGCGAAACACCAACGTCAAAGACTGGGAGTGATTATGTCGGAGGATCTCACCTTCAAGGACCATAACATTGTATCAATCGCATCTGCTAGAAAAATGACAGGATGGATAATGAGAACCTTCAAAACTAGGGAGGCCAAGCCCATGATGACACTCTTCAGGTCACTTGTTCTATCTAGGCTGGAATATTGCAGCACTCTAACAGCACCTTTCAAGGCAGGTGAAATTGCCGACCTAGAAAATGTACAGAGAACTTTCACGGCGCGCATAACGGAGATAAAACACCTCAATTACTGGGAGCGCTTGAGGTTTCTAAACCTGTATTCCCTGGAACGCAGGAGGGAGAGATACATGATTATATACACCTGGAAAATCCTAGAGGGACTAGTACCGAACTTGCACACGAAAATCACTCACTACGAAAGCAAAAGACTTGGCAGACGATGCACCATCCCCCCAATGAAAAGCAGGGGTGTCACTAGCACGTTAAGAGACCATACAATAAGTGTCAGGGGACCGAGACTGTTCAACTGCCTCCCAGCACACATAAGGGGGATTACCAACAGACCCCTGGCAGTCTTCAAGCTGGCACTGGACAAGCACCTAAAGTCAGTTCCTGATCAGCCGGGCTGTGGCTCGTACGTTGGTTTGCGTGCAGCCAGCAGCAACAGCCTGGTTGATCAGGCGCTGATCCACCAGGAGGCCTGGTCACAGACCGGGCCGCGGGGGCGTTGACCCCCGAAACTCTCTCCAGGTAAACTCCAGGTATCATGACTCACGAGTGTATGTGTATCAAGACTCACAAGTATATGTGTATCATGACTCACGAGTGTATGTGTATCAAGACTCACAAGTATATGTGTATCATGACTCACAAGTATATGTGTATCATGACTCACAAGTATATGTGTATCATGACTCACAAGTATATGTGTATCAAGACTCACAAGTATATGTGTATCATGACTCACAAGTATATGTGTATCATGACTCACAAGTATATGTGTATCATGACTCACAAGTATATGTGTATCATGACTCACAAGTATATGTGTATCATGACTCACAAGTATTATGTGTATCAAGACTCACAAGTATATGTGTATCATGACTCACAAGTATATGTGTATCATGACTCACAAGTGTATGTGTATCATGACTCACGAGTGTATGTGTATCATGACTCACGAGTGTATGTGTATCATGACTCACGAGTGTATGTGTATCATGACTCACGAGTGTATGTGTATCATGACTCACAAGTGTATGTGTATCATGACTCACAAGTATATGTGTATCATGACTCACAAGTGTATGTGTATCAAGACTCACAAATATATGTGTATCATGACTCACGAGTGTATGTGTATCATGACTCACAAGTATATGTGTATCATGACTCACGAGTGTATGTGTATCATGACTCACAAGTGTATGTGTATCATGACTCACGAGTGTATGTGTATCAAGACTCACAAGTATATGTGTATCATGACTCACAAGTATATGTGTATCATGACTCACAAGTATATGTGTATCATGACTCACAAGTGTATGTGTATCATGACTCACGAGTGTATGTGTATCATGACTCACAAGTGTATGTGTATCATGACTCACGAGTGTATGTGTATCATGACTCACGAGTGTATGTGTATCATTACTCACGAGTGTATGTGTATCATGACTCACAAGTGTATGTGTATCATGACTCACAAGTATATGTGTATCATGACTCACAAGTGTATGTGTATCAAGACTCACAAGTATATGTGTATCATGACTCACGAGTGTATGTGTATCATGACTCACAAGTATATGTGTATCATGACTCACGAGTGTATGTGTATCATGACTCACAAGTATGTGTATCATGACTCACGAGTGTATGTGTATCAAGACTCACAAGTATATGTGTATCATGACTCACAAGTATATGTGTATCCTGACTCACAAGTATATGTGTATCATGACTCACAAGTGTATGTGTATAAATGACTCACGAGTGTATGTGTATCATGACTCACAATGTATGTGTATCATGACTCACGAGTGTATGTGTATCATGACTCACGAGTGTATGTGTATCATGACTCACAAGTGTATGTGTATCATGACTCACGAGTGTATGTGTATCAAGACTCACAAGTGTATGTGTATCATGACTCACGAGTGTATGTGTATCATGACTCACAAGTATATGTGTATCAAGACTCACAAGTATATGTGTATCATGACTCACAAGTATATGTGTATCATGACTCACAAGTGTATGTGTATCATGACTCACGAGTGTATGTGTATCATGACTCACGAGTGTATGTGTATCATGACTCACGAGTGTATGTGTATCATGACTCACGAGTGTATGTGTATCATGACTCACAAGTGTATGTGTATCATGACTCACGAGTGTATGTGTATCATGACTCACAAGTGTATGTGTATCATGACTCACGAGTGTATGTGTATCAAGACTCACAAGTGTATGTGTATCATGACTCACGAGTGTATGTGTATCATGACTCACGAGTGTATGTGTATCATGACTCACAAGTGTATGTGTATCATGACTCACAAGTGTATGTGTATCAAGACTCACAAGTATATGTGTATCATGACTCACGAGTGTATGTGTATCAAGACTCACAAGTATATTGTATCATGACTCACAAGTATATGTGTATCATGACTCACAAGTGTATGTGTATCAAGACTCACAAGTATATGTGTATCATGACTCACAAGTATATGTGTATCAAGACTCACAAGTATATGTGTATCAAGACTCACAAGTATATGTGTATCATGGACTCACAAGTGTATGTTATCATGACTCACGAGTGTATGTGTTATCATGACTCACGAGTGTATGTGTATCATGACTCACGAGTGTATGTGTATCATGACTCACAAGTATATGTGTATCATGACTCACGAGTGTATGTGTATCATGACTCACAAGTATATGTGTATCATGACTCACGAGTGTATGTGTATCATGACTCACAAGTATATGTGTATCATGACTCACGAGTGTATGTGTATCAAGACTCACAAGTATATGTGTATCATGACTCACAAGTGTATGTGTATCATGACTCACAAGTATATGTGTATCAAGACTCACAAGTATATGTGTATCATGACTCACAAGTGTATGTGTATCATGACTCACAAGTGTATGTGTATCAAGACTCACAAGTATATGTGTATCAAGACTCACAAGTGTATGTGTACCAAGACTCACAAGTATATGTGTATCATGACTCACAAGTGTATGTGTATCATGACTCACAAGTATATGTGTATCAAGACTCACAAGTATATGTGTATCATGACTCACGAGTGTATGTGTATCAAGACTCACGAGTGTATGTGTATCATGACTCACGAGTGTATGTGTATCATGACTCACAAGTGTATAGGTACCTGGGCTTATTCAGCAATGTATGTGTACCAGCACTTACAAGTTAGTGTGTAATGTATAAAGATTCACTAATTAATATTATTTAGCATTACTCACACACCAGCACATGTATACCAAGACTTTCCTAACAAAATGTGTGAATCAACACGCACCCACCATAGTATGTGTACAAGCGCACTTACCACCAGTGTGTATGTGTATGTGTGTATGTGTGTGTATGTGTGTGTCAATTAGCAAGAACTCATTTAAAATTAAGTCCTTTCTATAATTTTCTCTTAAACTTTTAAAGACATATTTTTTTTTCATTTATGTTATTGTAGAAATTAATAATTTTTTACCAAAAGAGCTTTAGAAAACTTACCTAACCTTATTATAAAAAGCGCAATTTACCTTAGCCTAATCGAAGTAAATATATTTTAGATAAGTTTACAATAATTTCATAATAAACAATTACAATGAAATATGTTTTTTTTCGTTAGGTTCAGAATGATTTTTTGCGAAATTATTGCATTCACAAAATTATTAATTTTTACATTAACATAAATGAAAAAAATATATTTTTAATTGTATAAGAGAAATTTTTTAGGACTTAATTTTAAATGAATTCTTACTAACTGACTAAATATAAATATTCGACACGAATAAGCAAAATTGGTCACTGAATTATTAAGAATAAATAGGAATTAATTTATTGAATAATTGTTTAAACAGAGAACACAGAGTAAATTACTTACTATAAAATGTTTACTGACGTCTAAATAATCGTCTGTGTTTGGAACACGACCAAGACGGGCTGTTTTTGGTTTTTGGGAACGGCCAAGAAGAACCAGAAGCGATATTATGATGCCAATCAAGAGGCCGTAATCTATGTCAATGATTACTACGCTAAGAAATGATACAATCCATATCAGTGCATCAGTTCGTGATATAGCCCAGACTTTCTTCAAGTCAAGCACTTGCATAAACATCTCCTTAAGAGCCACCACGATGATACAAGACAGAACACACTGCAAAAAAAGTAAACATTAATACCTCGTTGTAATTTTTATTTACATCAGTCCTATATTTTAATGTCTTGTTGTTTAATTTGTTGTTGTTGCCGAGCTGCTCTCCACGAACACCAATAGTATGTAATTTGCGAAGTAACTGTTACACCTCTCTTCATTTAACTCTCACGTTACAATGACATTATCCTCATTCTTCCACCCTTCTCGTAATGTAATCATTCTTCTGCCCTCATCGTAATGTTGCAAGTGATCGATCATGCAGGAAAAATGACTATTACATCACGGCTCTAAAAGGTGAAAAAAATAATAACACAGACGTTCCCAGACAGACACACACACACACACACACACACACACACACACACACACACACGCACACACACACACACACACACACACACACACACACACACACACGCACACACACACACGCACACACATGTTTAGGCAACAACGAGTCATGGTACGTAATGATGTATCACAGTGGGCACCTGTGACGAGCGGGGTCCCACAGGGGTCGGTCCTAGGACCAGTGCTATTTTTGGTATATGTGAACGACATGACGGAAGGGTTAGACTCAGAAGTGTCCCTGTTTGCAGACGATGTGAAGTTAATGAGGAGAATTAAATCTGATGAGGACCAGGCAGGACTTCAAAGAGACCTGGACAGACTGGACACCTGGTCCAGCAAATGGCTTCTCGAATTTAATCCTGCCAAATGCAAAGTCATGAAGATAGGGGAAGGGCACAGAAGACCACAGACAGAGTATAGGCTAGGTGGCCAAAGACTGCAAACCTCACTCAAGGAGAAAGATCTTGGGGTGAGTATAAACACCGAGCATGTCTCCGGAAGCACACATCAATCAGATAACTGCTGCAGCATATGGGCGCCTGGCAAACCTGAGAACAGCATTCCGACACCTTAGTAAGGAATCATTCAAGACACTGTACACCGTGTATGTCAGGCCCATACTGGAGTATGCAGCACCTGTTTGGAACCCGCACTTGATAAAGCACGTCAAGAAACTAGAGAAAGTACAAATGTTTGCAACAAGGTTAGTTCCAGAGCTAAGGGGAATGTCCTATGAAGAAAGATTAAGGGAAATCGGCCTGACGACACTGGAGGACAGGAGGGTCAGGGGAGACATGATAACGACATATAAAATACTGCGTGGAATAGACAAGGTGGACAAAGACAGGATGTTCCAGGGAGGGGACACAGAAACAAGAGGCCACAATTAGAAGTTGAAGACACAAATGAGTCAGAGAGATAGTAGGAAGTATTTCTTCAGTCATAGAGTTGTAAGGCAGTGGAATAGCCTAGAAAATGACGTAGTGGAGGCAGGAACCATACACAGTTTTAAGACGAGGTTTGATAAAGCTCATGGAGCGGGGAGAGAGAGGGTCTAGTAGCAACCGGTGAAGAGGCGGGGCCAGGAGCTAGGACTCGACCCCTGCAACCACAAATAGGTGAGTACAAATAGGTGAGTACACACACACACGCACACACACACACACACACACACACACACACACACACACACACACACACACACACACACACACACTGGGCACATCTCCTTAGGGGCACATCAACCAAATAACTGCTACACCATACGGGCACCTGACAAATCAAAGAATAGCATTCCGACATCTTAATAAGGAATCATTCAGGACCTTGTACACTGTGTACGTTAGGCCCATATTGGAGTATGCAACACCCGTTTGGACCCCACACCTAGCCAAGCACGCAAGGAAACTAGATAAAGTGCAAAGGTTTGCAACAAGACTAGTCCCGGAGCTAAGGGGCATGCTCTACGACATATAAAATATTGAGAGGAATTGACAAGGTGGACTGAGACAGGATGTTCCAGAGATGGGACACAGCAACATGGGGTCACAATTAGAAACTGAAGACTCAGACGCGTCACAGGGATGTTAGGAAGTATTTCTTCAGTCATAGAGTTGTCAGGAAGTGGAATAGCCTACCAAGTGATGTAGTGGAGGCAGGAACCATACATAACTTTAAGACGAGGTATGACAAAGCTCAAGAAGCAGAGAGAGGACCTAATAGCGACCAGTGAAGAGGCGGGGCCACAGTGTACACGACAAAAACCATAGAGGAAAAATGGGATCACTTAAATTCTGGACAACTTACTGATATTGACATTTTCGGTTGGTCTTCACACAGGAAGACATCCAAACATTTAATAATTATAAAAGCCTGAACAAAACATGATAAGTATTATTATCACTAGGGACATGGGTTTCATACAAGTACACAGATTAAAGCAAAATACTTAAAAATATTCAAAACAGAGATTTTAGAGTAATTTTTTCAAAAAACTTATTTTGATTAGTGGATAGTGTATCAAATATATTCCCAAAGGGTTCTTTTAAGTGTACAGGACAAAAACACGGTCCTAGAGGCTGGATGGCGGGTTTCTTTTTTGACGTACAGTTAGTCTCTCAGACCAGGGGAATGTGATTACTGGGGAGGAGGGGAAAGCTTTTGGACCAAGGGACTGGAGACATGATCTTCGAGGATGGCCTAATGCTGCAAAGATCGTCCACGCATATTCGAGGAAGATTACTTCTACTATATGATCCGGTGACCGCATTGCACAACGACCATAGAAGGTGTCCGGTGGTTCCGTTTCTTCCCAAACCCCGAAAAACAACCAGAGGAGGTTAACTCCTACCTCGGTGTCGCCAAACCGGTTTTCTCAATTCCGGGAGGAGCTATTTTCTAAGCAATCAGCAGGAAACTTAAGTATTTGGTGAACTTAATAGAAAAAAAATCTTTTTCCCACAGACCCGATGTTGATACTCACTAGATACTGAAAACATTTCCCGTCAGGATTATAAGATTTTTAATCTGTGGATGATCATTGTCTCGTTGCCAGAACCTTTAATACAAACGGGACTGTCCTCCTCAACCTTAAATTGCTCAACCCTGTCAAGCCAAAGAACTATAGACCATTTACCATATCCTCGGTCTTAGATCGGCTGTTCCATTAGATCCTGGCAGCCAGAATTTCCTGAACTATCAATATTGTTATTATTATTATTGTTATTATTATCAGAGATCTCACCATGAAGCCAATAATCCTAAGATATACCTAACAATTATGCAGGAATGTACAGTATATTATGCTGGGACTGCCACATGGGTCCAGGAACACAGAAATGCTGAGGTTAGTGGTCATGTGTGGTCATACCTGTCCTAAGCTCTCTGTGAATTAGCGTGGGGTGTTACCAAGCACCATGGCTTGTAGTGTTTTAGAATCTCTGGTTCAAGTGTTGAAGAAGGAGGTTCTTCTTTTCAGGTGGAAAATAGGAGGCTGAACCTTCGCCTAGTGGGGTTTGGGAGTGAGTGTGAGACGCATTTAGCTGGTAAGGAGGAAATGATCACCAGCAGTGAGAGTGGCAGTCGCTTTAAGTGGCAAGTGGTTCACAGTTCAGGAAGAAGGAAGATAAGGTTTAATAGAGAAGATGTGAAGGTAGGAAATCGATTCTCTGTTCTCCAGGACGAGTGTACTTCAGTGGTTAGTGAGGTTGAAGGTACCACTGATTCCCCTGCTAATCAAGGTAAGAATATTCTAATTGTATGAGATTCTCAGGTAAGATATATGGACCGTGTATTTTGTAACAGAGAGAGAGGGTGTGCCTCCGAGGAGCTGGTGTTGGTGACAGTCAGCAGGTTGGATAATATGTCAGGTAATGGGAACAAGCCAATTATCTGTCTTAGTGCTGGGGTAATGACATTGGGAAGGGCAGGAGACAGGAGCTGCTGGATAAGAACAGGTCAGCCATAGAAGTAGTCAGATCTAAGTGAGGGGTCCTAGTCATATGTAGCATCTTTCCTAGAAAGGGAGTGGGCAATGAATAGATGTCTAGGGCAATTGGTATAAATTGCTGGCTAGACAGGTACTGCAAGGAACTTGCAATCCCATTCATTGATAACTGGGACAAATTCTATGGCAAACATGATATGTATGCAAGGGATGGGGTTCATCTCTCTGGGGATGGAGTGGTTGCATTAGCCAATTCGATTGAGGGGGTAACTGATTACTTTTCTAGGACTTTAAACTGAGAGATTATGGAGGTATGGGTGTTGTGAGAAACAATCAGGCTGCAGTATTAGGGTTAAAAACAGCAGTTATTACCGGGATACCTCAGGGATATGTTTAAAAGACAATATTCAAAATAGTTGCTAGTAAAGGCAAATCAATTGATCAACAAACAAAGAGAGATAGTAGAGGGCAACGAGTGACTAGCTCCCTTAAGGTTTACTATACAAATAGTAGGAGTCTAAGAAATAAGATAGATGAGCTAAGATTACTTGCAAGTGTAGGTAATATAGATATTATTGGTATAACAGAGACCTGGTTCAACTTGAAAGATAGAGAGATGCCTTCTGAATGCAACATACAGGGTTATAAACTATTCCACACTGATAGGGTCAACAGGAAGGGTGGTAGTGTGGAGATGTATGTCAGAGAAAATTTAAATTGTTGTCTTAGACATGATATAAGATTAGAAACATCGGACACAAAATCTGTTTGGCTACAGTTTCTCGAGGGTCGTGACAAATTAATTTTGGGTGTGATTTATAGCCCCCCAAACCTTGATAGGGAGTGCAGTAAGCTGTTATGGGACGAAATACATAAGTCATAAGGCATCTAGATATGAAAATGTTGTGATAATATGAGATTTTAACGTCAGACAAATTGATTGGAGCAATACGGCAGGAAATCTTGAGTCTAGTGACTTTCTTGATACGGTTCAGGATTGGTTTTTAGAACAGTTCGTGACAGAACCAACTAGAGGAAACAATCTGCTTGACTTGGTTCTTGCTAGCAAAGAATCACTAATTAATAATCTTGAGGTTAATGATGAGCTTGAGGAAAGCGATCACAAATCACTTAGTTTCAATATATTATGGAATTACCCAGGTAACTGCAATCAAGTCTTTGTCCCAGACTTTCGCTTGGGTGA